AAATTATTTAAGTTGATTTGACAAATGAAAAAAGGTTTTTTTTTTTTTCAGTGTGCTACTGTTCAATTGCTGTGTTTGGATTGGGATACACTTAGATATTGTATATGCTCACCAAGGCTGCATTTATTTGATCAAAATTTTAATTTTATCCCTGTGATTCAAAGCTGAATTTTCAGCATCATTACTCCAGTCTTCAGTGTCACACGATCCTTCAGAAATCATTCTAAGATGCTAATTTAATGATCAAGAAACTTTCTAATTGTCAATGTTTAAAACAATTGTGCTGCTTCATATTATTTGGTAAATAGAAAGTTTAATAGAACAGCATTTATTTTAAATAAAATAAATAAATAAAAAATTGCCCTAAAAAATGCTCTAAAAATTTGCATGCTCTAAAAAAAAAACACTTAGAAATTACATAATTAAAGTAGAAGCTCTTTGTGTCCGTCGGGGAATATCTTTTCATGCTGTTCATTGTAAGGTTAGGATGTAGCTCATGAATAAGAATCCGCTCGTTTACATTTTTGCAGGATTGCTGACAGTATTACTGAGCCCATGACCTTGTAAATCATTTCTATTAGGTTTTAAATCAGGTATTCTATTAATATTTTAGTATAGAAGCCATTATAAGTGTTAATCAAGAAACTTTTGTGTGTGTGTGTGTGTAGATATCGAGGCCTCAGGGATGAGACAGGACGACACACACAAGATTACTTTCATCTGCTGGCCATACGTCTGAGTTTCGTCATTATATTCGAGGTGCACAGTCTAGCACTATTTTGACCAAACACAATTTTGTAAACTTTGCACATACATTTGCACATGTTTCTGCCACTCAATACAAATTTTTAAAAAGGCAATTGTGAAAAAGGACATTTTTAAAGTGAATGAGTCGGATATGGGTGACAATTGAAAACGTTTAAACGTACGACGGAGTTTATATCTCACAATTCTGCTTTTTCTGACTTTGTAACCCAAAATTGCGACTTTATATAACACAATTTAAAAAAAAAACAAAAAACAGACAGATAAAAGTCACAATTTCCTTTTTTATGTTTTATTTTGTGACGTAAACAAGCTTCCATATTAATAAGATACAGATGATGTTGTGTTTTCAGCATGTTGTCCTCATGATTGGACGGATTATTGACTGGATGGTGCCAGATATCCCAGAGGAAGTGGAAATTAAGATCAAAAGAGAGCATTACATGGCCAAAGAGGCACTGGCTGAGAACCAGGTGACTCTTATATCGACGACTTATGACATCATATATTAAAATGAATATAATAATACTATTGACATTTTTTCAATGCTGATTCCACTTTTAAGTGTGGGACGGCTGTTTTTCTCTGTGTTCTTAAACCTTGACTCTCCTGTCCTCCTTCAGTCTTTGAGTAAAACTGTCCTGGAGGAGATGGAGAGGCAAACGTTCGAGCTGCGACGAAGAATACAAAGTCCTACAAACAGTCTCTCCTCTTCCTCCAGTCCGTCCCCTGAACACGAGGACAAACCTCCACCCCGACCGTCTGATATATGACACACAGGCTCTGCAGTGAATAGAAGTTTGTAAACTGTTGCCTATTCATTTTCAATAGGCAACTACTTTTAATACTGTCCTAAATAAAATATGCAAGGATCAAATGTGTCTTGCATCATGTTGAAAATAATATACTGAATGTGTGTGTATTGTATATAGGGTAACATGTAAGATGATTTGTGCGTCTATTTGTTAAGATGTGGACACAGAAATGTTTTCAGAACATGTAATAGTTTTTAATTTAATGATGTAATAGTTTTTATTTTGAAGTGAGAAGATCAAATAATACCCTTGGGGTAAGATGGGCAGATAAGCCTCAGATTGGCATGTTGTTTAAGTGTTATTATTTTTAAATCGCATTCTTATTGTTATTAATGGGGTTATTATTATTATTATTATTTTCATTGAATTGGATGTATATTTCAGACAGCTCTGCTTTCCTCTCATTTATACTTTCTGTCAAAGTTTATCTGGGGATTTAGGCTCTCTATCTCTCTATCTCTCTCTCTCTCTCTCTCTCTCTCTCTCTCTCTCTCTATATATATATATATATATATATATGGATATTGTAGATTATTAAATTTATTTTATAATAAAAGAAAAACAAATGGATAGATTTATTGTTTTTTTTTTATTTAAAAAAATGTATGCATAGACATTTTCATGTATAAGAAATATATTAAAAAGTGTAATAAAACTTCACCCCAAAAAAATTATTGAGGAAAAACGGAAGCAAATTATCATACCTATAGACTAAACACGGGACATTAAAAAGGGGAACCAAATCTAAATACCCAAACGTCCTGTTACCAAATAAAAAAATTAAAAAATTCAGTCGAGGAAAGAAAACTGCTTCATTTCACGGGGTCTTGTGAACCTAAAATAAATCCATAAGAAGTGAATGAATAGTAAAAAAAAAAATAGAAGTGAATACTTTTTTAGGCAATGGACCTACTATTAAACTGGTGTTTAGGCCTACATGCTACAACAAAACACACACACACACACACACACACATTAGATGTTTATTAAAGTGAGATTTTATGACATGATGGACCATTTGACACACGCAAACGTACTTTACCGTGAACAGTGAAGTACTTTTAGCATATTGTGTGAACCTTTTAAGCTGCCAATTTTTTCAAATTTTAATATGAAAATGTGTCCGTTGAGTTCAAGGTTGTATTGGATGGATTTTTATTGCGGGTTGTTTGTTGGAAAAATAAATACAGAAAGAATTTGACACAAGAGGGCAGTATGGCCCTATTTATGGTTTTGAGTTTAAAGGCACTCTATGCAAGATCTGTACCTTAATATAACAGCTTCAAAGTCGTTTTGGTGGTTAACAAAGTCATAGTAGGGCGAATCATCCTGGTAGGAAAGCTTGGGGGGGACGCCGCCGGAAAAACCAGCCATGCAAGTTTGAGAGTGGCGCCCCTGACACAGCGCGTGAGAATCACGAAATGGTTTACGGCAACGACGTCACACGCATCAACAACATCATACTGTATGAAGCTACTTTCGAAACAGGGAAAGAGAATCGGACCGTGCTAGAAACCGGACAAGAGTCCACTCGGTCGGGCTTTCACTCGTTGGCGCGAGCTTAAAAGCTGCACTGGATTGTAACTGCGATGCTGACCTGGCGATCTTGTTGATGGACTTGTAAGTAAATCTCTTATTTATAAACTTGTTTGTTTTTGTACACCACAGCGGCTCTAGAGGTCACTGTTTTACAAAAAAACCAGAGAGTGCATAGTGTGCCTTTAAACTATCACTATCAGTTAAACCGTGCTACACGTTTTCCAAAGTGGACCAACGTGATTATTTCACGTCTTGTCGTGATACCGGGTTGGGCACTGAAGTTACAGGAGTTTCTTCCCGTTGCTAAGCAACGGAACTAGGTCGAGTATTTAAAAGGTTATGGTAAACACGGTTAACGTGGTTTAACGTCGATGTAATACGTTGTTTTAGCGTACCTTTTGCTTGACTTTAACATTTTTCATAACTCCATGTAGGACGTTTCTGTCCATAAATGTAAGCACTTTGGCAGTTGTAATGCAATATTTAGAAAATGTACTCTTGTACTCTTGATATAGTACTTTTAAAAACAAGTACTTCAGTACTTTTACTCAAGTAGACATCTGACTGGCCTACTTGTACTTGAGTAAAATTTAGCAAGGGCTATCTGTACTTTTACTCAAGTAATAAAGCTGTGTACTCTGTCTGCCTCTGCGGAAAAATAGACATTACTCATTAGGCTGCTTCATTAAAAACGTGACATTTAGACGTTTTATTTCGGCGTGGATCGAGGCAAATGAATCCTTTTCACCTTGAAAATAATAAATGTTTTTTGCATTTTAAACAAGTACCATTTCTCAGTGATCGTCAATAAAACAAAATCCCATTTTCTCGGTTTAATGAAAACCAATATGGTAAGTTTAAGTTTCAGTTTAAGTGCAAGTTTCACGTTTGAGGGAGTGAAACCGTGACATCTACACATTTTCCAAAGTGGACCAACGTGATTATTTCACGTCTTGTCGGCTGGAGAAATGTTGTTTTGGCCACTTTGTTTGATATAATCACAACAATTTAATGTAAGCAAGAATGGGATTTGAACTCAGGTCTTCTTGATTGAAACCCTATCAACTGAGCCACTGAGTCTGTTAAGTTCAAGGGTTTATTTGATGGATTTTTATTACAGGTTTGCTTTTATTTGTTGGAAAAATAAATATATAAAAATAATTTGACACAAGAGGGCAGTATAGCCCTATTTATGGTTTTGTTAAACCGCGACACACGTTTTCCAAAGTGGACCAACGTGATTATTTCACGTCTTGTCGTGATACCGGGTTGGGCACTTGAAGTTACAGGAGTCCCGTTGCTAAACAACGGAACTAGGTCGAGTATTTAAAATGTTATGGTTAACAAGGTTAACGCGGCTTAACGTCGATGTAATACGTTGTTTTAGCGTATCTTTTGCTCAAACGAGGAGCTGAGGGACACCGGAAAAATAGACATTTTGCTCATTAAGCAGCAGTCTGCTGGTCACGGGATCAACACTATAAGATCAGAATGAGAACCATTTCTTTAGACACATTGGTGATTATGTCCTTCTAGTTGTCTATTATTTTTAATAATTGCTACAATCCATCTGTTACCAAACTAACTAGAACAAGTTTTTAGTTTTTTATATGCCATCAAATATGACCTGCTGTTGTGCGATGGAATATTATGAATGAATATGCGTAAAATAGTTTTGGAAAGTATTTCGTTTCTCCTTTGCTTTATGTTACTGTGCTGTACAGATGTATTAATTATCTGTTTTATTCGATTTACTTATTTGAATCAAAGTTGTATTTATTGTATTACGTATATTTAGTTAGTTTAATCTATTTTTTGTATTTATTTGTTTTTACATTTTCACACTGTTGTGTGAACTTGAACCGCTTGGGCATAGACTCTGCCAGTCTGCCATAAGCTTGGGGGTCCCCGGCCGGAAGTCCACAATAAAACCGAAGGACTTTTATTTTGGAATTTCGCTCTGACACTGACGCTTCCTATGCGCGAGGAGGCGGGCGCAAATTTTCCCGGGATTTTGGGGCCTAGTCAGTAAGTAAGCAACCAAGCAAACAAGTAAGTGTGTATTCACTGAATTGTAATATTTTTTATTATTCTTTGACGTTCATTTTAATAAACCATATTACGACAGAGACGTCACGTACTTTAAACAATCAAATGTTTAACTTTACGTTTATTTGGTCCTCACAACAATCACTCACACTGCTAAAAAAGTTGCTAGCAAAGATGCGGGTTAGCATAAGAACTTGTATACAATAATCTACATTTCATTTGGACGTGTTCTGCATATATGTTTTATTGACAATAGTTTTTAAACTAAGCCCTTTTGTTTCGGATGTCTTGTGGTGAAATCCCCACTGGTTAATGTTGCTGAGGAAGAACACATAACGTTAACTGTTTAACTAACGTTACATCATACAGGCTAGTAACACTTTAAAGTACAGGTTTGCGGATTGCTTACTGAATAATTGATAGTTGATATGAATAACCACCTCATATGTAGATATTTATTTACATAAGATTCAGTGTTATCCAATGCAGGGGGTCTCAACCTTTAGAAACCCATGAAAACAACAACATATAGTTTTTCTCAGTACAAAACCTGCAGTTGTGCTTTGGTGTTTGAAATCCTGGATCTAATTTAGAGGGTAATACAGTGTTTTCATGTTGTTTCTGTCTTTCAGCTGACTGTCATATGCTGCTGTAGAAGCTGAGAGAGAGAGAGGAGCATCATTGACCGACACAGCGAGGCCGGCCGCAGAATGCCGCCTGTGTCTGAAGTGGACACGGGTCCGGTCGAGGAAAGCTCCGGGGGTCTTGAGCGCTCGGACTGCCTCTGTCCGATCTGTCTGGACATATTCCTGGAGCCGGTTACTCTGCCCTGCACGCACACGTTCTGCAAACCATGCTTTCTGGAAACCGTGGACAAGTCCAACATGTGCTGTCCGCTTTGCCGAAAGCGTGTGTCCACTTGGGCACGACTCAACGGCCGGAACAAGACCTTGGTCAACATTGAGCTGTGGAGACGCATACAGGACGCTTTCCCCGCTCAGTGCGAGCGGAGAGTGCAGGGAATCGATGATTGCGATGATTCTGGTATGCTGAAGCCGTATGTGATGCATAACTGTTTCATGTTAATGCCTAATTCATTGATTAATCGCTTACTTATCCCCCCCTCAGTGCTGATTTCAAGACCTCGAGTATGTCAGCCAGGAGAGCTGAGGAAAGAGTACGAGGACCAGATCAGCAAGGTGAGAGATTCACGATGGTCTCGACTCTCTCTGTTAAGATGTGGTGGATTTTTAGCCAGCAGTCTCTGAAATGGCAGGTGGGCCTCCATGAATGCACATTACAGACTGCAATCCTATGCTTACATTGTTGTTCTGCCAACAACACAATGGTGTTTGTTTGTGTGTCCTGTCCAGTGTTGGGTGTAACTAATTACTAAGTAATTAGTTACTGTAATTTAATTACTTTTCCCTTGAAAATGTAAAGTAAGGGATTACTCTTAATTTATCTGTAATTTAATTACAGTTACTTCTGATGTAATTGAGGTAAATACTGTGTATAGATCAATCCGATCTCACAGCAATTCATATGCATTTTACAATTTGTCTAAATCGTACGACGGCACTCGTACAAATTCGTATGAATTAGTCGTCTTGTAAAATATGTATTAAAAAAAAGTGTGAAAGGTCATGAGATCAGACATAAAACAACAGTGGGTTCAACATCAAAATGTATTGTCTGATGTTAAAAAGTATGTTTTTATAATGTAACCTTCACCTTGGTCAGTTTAAAGATAATTCATGCAATTTTATAGTATTTATTTGAAAGAATTAAAACAGATTCATGTCTATCCTTAAATTATTCAGCTGGTTGAGATTGAAATGGGATTTTGAAAGTAATTAAAAGTAATTAAATACTTTTTTAGAGAGAGTAATTAGTACAGTAATCTAATTACACTGTTGAAGAGGTAATTAGTAACTAGTAATTAATTACTTTTTTAGAGTAACTTACCCAACACTGGTCCTGTCAAGTCCTGCTCAGTGCTGTTGGATTTCTGCAATGGAATTTTTGAAACAGTTTTTTTCCCCCATGCACATACAGTAATATTTAGTTGTTAATACACATAACTACATTTAAGATGTATTATTAGGGGTGTACCAATATATCGTTCACAATAAAAAAATGCAGCAATATGTATCGTAGATAGTGACAATGTGCATTTTTGTACATTTCACCTAAAATTACTGTGTGAACAAATTTAAGTTTACAAAATTTGAGTGTCATTACTACATAAAACCTATATATAATGTTGAATTTAATGTATAATAATGCAAGGGGGAATATTTGGAAGTCCTGATATTGTCAAATGTCTTATCTGTTAAACATGGTCTACATATTTACCTCAGAAAACCCACATAAACTCGTTAGTCAGCTAGAAAAAATAACTCTAGAGAGGAGCATTTTGCTAAATATATATATATTATATGCATTATCTTAATGTTCTGCAATATTTAATGCATATTTCAGGGAACTACACTGCGACCTTTTGAAATCCCATTGCGACCCTAATTTTTAATGGGTCGCAAATGTATCACTGACTATTTTGACGGGTCTGTTTTTTTTTAGTTTCTTTCGGGTTGTATTTAATCTTCTAAAACCTGTCGGATCGTCCGCTTTTTATCCCGCCAAAGCCTTTTTTGATCGCGGTGAGTGTTGTAGACAGGGCCTGAAATTAACTTTTTCGGCCACCGGCCACTGTGGCAGGTGGATTTAAAAATTCACCTGCCACAGAGACTTTTTTACAGAGACTTTTTACCAAATGGTAAAAAAGAACAATATTGTGAAATTTTTTTTTTTTTTTTTCACGTTTATATAAAGGTGAAAAAAAACGTGAATTTCACAACATTGTTCTTTAACTTGTAAGAATACACATTTAAGTGCTGTCAAGTAATAATAATATCTCTAAGAACATAAATTTTTTTTAAATCTTTTTATTCATTGATTTTGTCACTCACACAACATATACAGTATATAGTATAGGCTATATAGTATATACTCAACAGATAGACCTACCGCAGCTCGTATGTAAACAAATCACACGCGGCTGGGTTGATGGCTGATTTAGTCACGTAGACAGATCCTGACAGCTTTTAGTTACAGCGTTCAGGAACCGTTAACTATGAACTAAATTAATATTGTTATTACTGGTAAAGGTACTGGACATTTTCTCACTGGTTCCCAACATGCACAGTTGCACATGCACACACATCTGTGCAACTGTCATTGTACGTAGGCTACGTCAGTGTTACATTATCTCATCCCATCTCACCAACAGTTTAATACTCGCACATCCAAACGTAGTCGGAAAAGGGCCTCGATCGTCTTCTTCTGATCGCATGAACGTTCCGAAACAACAGTCGCGGTCATAAATCAGCCGCTCACGAACCTTGCCATTGCCGCCAATTGTCCACTTTGTATTGAAATGTCTTCTTTTACTTTTCTTTTTGTCATCCTCATCTTTTTGTTGGTTGTTTGTTTCAGCTGGCTTCTTTACCCCAGTAATGTGCCGCCACATTTTAGCTGTCAAACGCAATGGCGGACTTAGTTGAAATGTAAAAATCCTAATGAATCACTCAATTCTCATTGGCTACCTGTCAATGTGGCAGGTAGATTGACAGTGTTACCCGCCAATAGGAAAATTCACCCGCATTTGGCAGGTGGTCGGGTGTTAATTTCAGGCCCTGGTTGTAGAGTAGAATGACTGATGCGTTTGACAGGGCGCAAACGAGCTGAGAGAGAGAGAAAGAGAGAGAGCGCCCTGGCCGCGCACGCACTATCACGTCTTCACACAACACAAGCGCTGTCTTGCTCTCTCTCTCTATCGCGCGCATATTATTCAAATGACATGATAGTAAAAGGTTTGTGTCTTTATAATAGGCATGCTAATCATAATCATAGGCTACCATCTGAGCCTGCATGGCGGCAGGACAAAAAGACGCAGAGATGTAAGACACCGTGTCTCTTCCTTACACCAAAGGTAGATTTGCGGTCTGGTGTTCGGCTGATAAACTCTGCCATGAGCTAACTAATTATATTGCTCGCGCTGATATTGACATCGACTAACGTTATATGATCACTAGCAGTTTTTTTCATAATCATAATCGCGTGATTCGCGTCAAGACACCTGATTGGCTAATACTACACACTGAAGATAAATTAAATGTTTTATTAAATAATTACTGAAAATATCCCTCTCTTCATCCCACACCCCAAACATGACATACAAAATGTTGTGGAACAGAAACAACCAGAGATATATTTATAAGCTATCATTTTATCGTCATCACAGCTTTCCAACAGTCCTGCGTATGATTGTACATTGATTAAAAAAGAAAATCAAATGTGTTTTAATGGTAATTATTTTATACGTAAATCATGTATTTATAATTCAGATGAGAATAAAGTTAGGGTTAGTTAAAATGAAGGAAAACAAATATATTGATCTGAAATATTGCAAATTAATTTTACATTCATTCAAGTACAATTACCAAACATACATCAAGGTCATTTTGTCTTTTTATTAATTTAATTAATAAACTAATTATATAAAACTATTGTAATAGTTACTGGTTCTATGCCTTTATTAATAAAACTTAAACAACTTAAAAAATACGAGGCTTAAGACATTTATAAAAATGCCTTCTGCATTTTTGTTTTGCTTTTCACTCCATTGAACCGAAATCGTACCGAACCGTCTGAATGTCTGAACCAAGGTATGAACCCGACCCAACCGTGACTTCTGTACCGTTCCACCCCAATGCAGTTTCATTATTATTCATTACTATCCAGAGTGCGGCTTACTATAAATAATTTGTGCGACCAAATCATGTTTTGCGCCAGTAACTGAAAAAGTTAGTAGCGCAAGTGCCACCAGTTGAAAAGGTTAGTCTAGTTCCCTGTATTTGAATAAATCTGGCAAGTTTTTATAACAGCCACCATCTAAATGTTTATATTTCAATTGATCTTCTTATTATAAAAATAATTAAAAGTGTAATTTAAGTGTTTGTATAGCTACAAAACAGTTCATTATTACCTCCATATTAGGCTAATGAAGCTTAGTAGGCTACAACTAGACTCCCATAGTTCACAGCATTAGTAAAGAGATTTGATTTCCTTGAGAAAATTTGCCATTTATTGTAACTTATATCCAAAATAATCAATATCGAATCGAATCGAATTGTGAAATTTGTGTCAATACCCAGCCCTAGTGTTCTGTATTCATACCGTTATGCTGTGTGTTTTAAATGCACATCTGAAGTGTCAGCGCTGATAGTTTGTTATGTGTCCTCTAGAGGCCGCTCTCGCTCTGTATAATGCCAGCACTCTCTTCTGAGCGCTCTCGTCCTGTGTAATGACCGCGCACGCACTCCAGCAATGGACGCAACCCTGAAAAACTATCAGTGTGGATTTTTTTTTGCCGATAACTATAGTTCCACCAATCAACTATCGGTACCGACATAGCAGCAAAACCGATGAATCGGTCGACCTCTAATTTATTCATTACTATAACAACTTAAAAACAATCACATACATTTTGCAATCGACTAGTCTAACACCCCCGCCCCACATACTGAATATGCCACTCACTACTTCTGATATATAGAAATTACATATATATAGAACTACTTCTGATATATAGAAATACACTTTTTCAATTATAATATGAAGTTTCATTTTTAAAATGATTAACATGACTGCAATTGAAACATGGCCTTTGTAAAATATAAGGTAAAAAATGGAGCTAAATGCCTAGTATTTCCAGCACATCCCTGGTATGCACATTGTCCATTTTAGGGCAAATAAAATCAGAATTTGTTATTGATGTTTTGTTGTTGTGAAGGCTGGCTGGCTGTCTTCATCTGGTCTCTTGTTTTGAACAGCTCGTGGAGGAGAAGCGAGCTCTGGAGGAAGCCGAGCGGAGAGCCAGTGAGGAGTACATCCAGCGCCTCCTGGCCGAGGAGGAGGAGCGAATGGCGGAGGAGAGGAGGAGACATGAAGAGCAACAGCTGGAGAACGATGAGAAACTGGCCAGACTGCTCAGCCAAGAGCTGGTGAGGTCACACATCAGAGGTCGGGAGACGCGGTCAATGACATGCACATAAAAGTGACATTTCAAAACAACAATACAGTCTGACCGCAGACATTTTGACTGTCTGAGCATAACAGGAGGACTGTAAATAATCTCATTCTGTGTCCCTAATGTTTACACACATTTAAGGATTGACTGCCTTTGTCAATCTCAGCCTTAAAGGATTGGTTCACCTCAAAATGAAAATTAGTTGATTAGGATTAGTTCACCTCAAAATGGCGGTACTTTCAACTCGATGATGACGTTTCCAACACGATGATGTAATGCCTGGCGCTTCACAGACCAGCACAAGATGAACAATTGTGGTTAAAAAGTATATACTTTTTTTTTTGACCCTCAGCTGGGATTGTGCAGAGCGCTTTGAAACTGCATTGATTTGGAATTGCAACAATTTGGTTACCGTTGAAGTCCATTGTGTGGAGAAAAATCCTGAAATGTTTTCCTCAAAAAACTTGATTTCTTTTCCACTGAAGAAAGAAAGACATGAACATCTTGGATGGCATTGGGGTGAGTAAATTATCAGGAAATTTTCCTTTTTGAGGTGAACTAATCCTTTAATGACTTTTCCTAATTTAATGGGGACAACTCTGAAAAAATATCAGAAGGTTAATTTTATGTTTACAATGTCTCGTACACATTTTCCGTCAACTTAAAAGGTTACTTAAAGGGTTAGTTCACCCAAAAATGAAAATGAAGTCATTAATTACTCACCCCCATGCTGTTCCAACCCCGTAAGACCTTCGTTCATCTTCGGAACACAAATAAAGATATTTTTGATTCAATCTGAGAGCTGGATCAGTCCTACATGCCTAAGGGACTGGCTCTTGATGGCCCATAAAGTCATTAAAGAAAAGGTTTAAATATTCCATGTGCCTACAGCGGCTCAATTATAAGTTTATCAAGCGACGAGACTACTTTTTGTGCGGAAAAAACATAAATAACGACTTTATTCCACTATTCCATTACTTCCTTATTGGCGCATGCGCGAGAACTGAGACGAGGACGTTCTCTTTCGACTTGTTACCGGCTGCTCACCGCTCAGGAGTATTACCGCCCCCTACCGTATAAGATGATGTGCTGATATAGCTGGAAGCGCAAAACTTTCTGTTTGCAAGCAGAGGAAGATGCGCGCTGTACGTACGCTTTTCAATTAGCGTATTTTCCGCACTATAAGGTGCACTTAAAAGCCTTTAATCTTCTCAAAAAACGACAGTGTTCCTTATAATCCGGAGCGCCTTATATATGGATCATCATTTTATACGGTAGGTGGAGGTAAAACTCCTAAGCGGAGCAGCCGGTAACAAGAAGTAGACGAATGAGAACGTCCTCGTCTCAGTTCTCGCGCATGCGCCCATAAGGAAGTAATGGAATAGCCGAATAAAGTCGTTATTTATGTTTTTTTCGCACAAAAAGTAGTCTCGTCGCTTGATAAACTTATAATTGAGCCGCTGTAGGCACATGGAATATTTAAACCTTTTCTTTAATGACTTTATGGGCCGTCAAGAGCCAGTCCCTTAGGCAGTCTATGTAGGACTGATCCAGCTCTCAGATTGAATCAAAAATATCTTTATTTGTGTTCCGAAGACGAACGAAGGTCTTACGGGGTTGGAACAGCATGGGGGTGAGTAATTAATGATTTAATTTTCATTTTTGGGTGAACTAACCCTTTAAGTAGTCAAAAAAGACAAATTACCTGAGACAAACCTTTGTAAAAAAAAAAAAAAAAATCATATTGTGAAGGTTTAAATTACTGGGGTCAAATTGACGAACCCAAACGAACCGCACCAAGAAAAAAAAAAAAAAACTCTACTGCAATTAAATAGAACTAAATAAGAAGCATCCTAAGATTAAAGAGTTGTTATTAGACCGACCGATAAAGGATTTTGAAGGCCGATACCGATACAAGCATTTTTTTGGTTTTAAAATCCGATATGCCGATATATCGGCCGATATTTTTATTTTATTTTTTTATTTTTTTCAGAAACGTGCAACAAAACATTAACAGATTTCCCTAACATTAGTTATTTGTAGTTATTTATGAGTTTTAAATAAAATAATATGATAATGCTTTTTAAAAAGAAACTTGTTTCTTTTATTGTCACAACAGAACAGACTGATGATAGTGGCATTAGCTAGCTTTATGGTTAGCCATACTTTAGCAATGGATTACGTGATACTGCAAATTGTAAAACATACATTTTCAGGCCTAGGAGAGATGATGCGTCTCATTGTTATAACTGTCACGCGCTATTAAAGAAATACTTCAGTCACATTGTCAAAAGTTAAAAGGAAAGTCAGTCAACTACACTGTAACAACGTAGCGCAATTATTACTAGCTCATTTCGCTTCACTCTCGGCTTATTTAACAGCAGCACAACTGGACAAACTGTGAACAGTGAACTGATGGGGATGTTCTTTTAATTGTTATTCAAGCAATGTATGTATCGTGACCACCTCAACAAAGTTGCCAACAGGAACGGGGTAGAGTGCCCTCTGGTGGACAAACTATACAACTCCAACACTCATGACATGGTTCAAGCGTATTTCGTCCGTTTTTGTTTTATTTTTGAAATATTCATTTATCGTCCATTATAACTGCCGATCCCGATTTGGAAAATGCCCAGTATCGGCCGATAATATCGGCCTGCCGATATATCGGTCTGGGTCTAGTTGTTACACCAATTTAACACTGGGAGAATGAAGGGACATGTTATTAAATTGACCAAATTAAGTTTGATGTATCTTTCACACTTTATGGCATGCAGGGTGAATAAAAACACCCACCCCGCATTTTGACTTAGAAACATGCAGTGCTCATCTTTATTCAATGATGTACGGTATACCGCACAGCACTAGTTTTACCGTATCAATCTGAGTCCACGTCCACGAAGTGCTCCAAAGAAGATTTGCTTTCAGAAAATAGGGTCTTGTCATTTCAGCAACACAATTCCTCAAGGCCTCAACTACACCTACTATGTTTGATGGTGAAAGGAGACATAGTTCACAGGCAGGCATTATTCAAATTTGTTGCATACCTACATAGTTTTAGTTGAAAGCAAGACTGGGATTCCTGATGACTCATTTTAGCCAGTTCAGATCAGAATCAGTTCTTTCTTTTAAGAATTAAATCGCCGCAATCAGGGATGATGTAATGCTGTTTTTGCAGAATTCAGGACCAATCTCTGAATCACCGTGGATCGTCAAACCTATTGATGCTACGCCTGCCAAGAAAGCAAAACCAAAGGGGGACATTGAAAAGTGAGTAACATCAGTAATAATTCTGGTCTTTTCAGGCCTGGTTAAAGACCACAAAGAAAGAGGCTTTTTCTAATGCACTCCATTCTCTTATGTCTCAGGTTTTTGCGTCCAGTGCCTCATAAACCGCCGAGCAGTTCTGACAGCAGCCCAGACTCCTCTCTTATGGCTAATAAGGTGATTTTAAAGATGCTTCGATTGTCTTCCCTCATAAAGGAAAGGAGGTCTTTGAGATCATGCATGCAACGTGTATCAGTTGCATTTATACTCAATTTTAGTGAAGAGAACGCTAACATTTTACTTAAAGCCTGTTTTCTATTTTAATGTTTTAAAATATACATTTTTCCTGTGATAGCAAAGCTGAATGTTCAGCATCATTACTCCAGTCTTCAGTGTCACATGATCCTTCCGATATCATTCTAATATGCTGGTTTGATGCTCCAGAAACATTTACTATTATTACCAATGTTGAAAACCGCTAATATTTGATGAAAAGAACGTTCAAAGGAACCGCATTTAATTAAAACCAAAATATTATGTAATAGTATTGATGTGTGTCACTAGATATGCACCACATTTTCCAGATTCAGATTCCTCATCCCTAGCTGTCCAAACCATTTGTAGTATTAGTGCATGTGCAAAGTTAAAGGGATAGTTCACTTTGAAATTAATTTTTGGTGTGTTTTAGCTTACCTCAAGGGCATCCAAGATGTAGGTGTCTTTGTTTCCACAGTATTTTAAATTTTGCTATTTTTAGGTCAAAACGCTTGTCTCTCAGTCATATAATGGAGGTCTATGGTCACCACCTCACAGAGCGTGCACAGAGAAGTCAAAATTAAACATGATTTAATGACTCGTAAATGTAAGTACACATTGATGGCCTATGACACGAAACAAAAGGTTTGTGTGAGAAAACGAACAGTATTTATATCGTTTTTACCTCTTGTAACCACAGCCATGTCCAAGTGATCTGAGGGCGCTTCGGTCTGCGCAAGCTTCGTGCGGTTGCGAAAAAAATCAATGTTGTCTGTTGATATATCGAAATCGTCTTCCATTGCAATTTCCTGTATATCTAAATATGTTTAGATCTTCACAGTGAAAGGTAACACTTCTGAAATCTCTGTGTAAACAATGAGTGACGTACAAGCACTAGTGTTAATTTTACCAGCCATTTTTAAATTTAGTTTCAGTTTTAGTCCAGTTTCAGCATCGCTTGTTAGTTTTTATCACATTTAGTCGACATCATCCCATTTTTATTTAGTCTAGTTTTAGTCGACTATAAGTCGAGCATTTTAGTCTTTATTTTAGTCCAAGAAAACATATATTATATTCGTTTTATTCGTTTAGTTTTAGTCAAAAAAAACTGTCAACATTTTAGTCTAGTTTTAGTCAGGACATCATTTTAACCTTTTACTTTTTTGTCAGCAGATAATATTTAACATTTCCTAAAATTATTTCACAATTCAACATTTTCTCTCATCTTTTTGATAAAAAACACAATTTATGGAACACATGCAGACATGGAAGATGTTCTGACGATATTTGCATATTTATTTTGAACATTGTTAAGGTTCAAAGACACAAACACAAATGCTTGCATTAAAACAAATAAAATACACCTGACAAAGGAAACAAATAAATAAAAGTGTATTATGAACTTAACACAAGTGCTGGCTGTTTAAAGCTAGTTCACATAGAATAATAAAATAAATAGATTTGAGGTCAATGTTGTGAAGAAAAAAAAAAAAAAAACTCCAACTAAAACAACAAAAGTGCTTTCCTGCCAGCTAGTTCACATGGTATATAAAGGTACAGTATTTAAGGTGAAACAAGGCATAGCTTGCTTGAACGTATGAAATCTTTTTAACTAATCTTTTTAAAGCGTCTGTCTGCTTTAATCAAATTTAACTGAAACTATAGTTGCCCGGCCAGTATGACATATCTAAGTTAGCATAAATTTAACTTCACATACAGTTCTATCAACAAGTAGCTACGGTCGCTACGTGCTAAGAAGCTAACGTAACATAGCCAGCCTGGATACTAAATGCTAAGTTAGCCATCATTAGTTAGTTTATCATTGTCAAAATGTGTCCATATATCACGTCTCTTCTTTCTCCCGAGCCCCGTAAAAAGCATGTTTTACTTTTAACCTGTCGCCGCCGCCTCACCGTGAATCTAGCTCCTGTCTGCTCCATGTTGTGTAGGCTACTCTGACTGTGCCCGCCCGCTCCAGGTTTGAAAGTGGGTGTGTGGCGGAAGAGCTGACGAGGAGGAGGCGGAGGAGGAGACAGGATTTGACAAAACCATATCATATAATAATATGTAATTTTCGTCTCGTCTTTGTTCGTGAACTAAAATGTCCATAGATTTTAGCCCAGTCTTTATTTACCGAACTGCATTTTCGTCTCGTCTTTATTAGTCTACGAAAATTATTTCTGATTTACTCCCAGTTATTGTTTATTAGTGAGGATTTTAGTCTCGTCTCGTCTAGTTTTCGTTCGGTGAAAAATGTGCGTTGACGAAAATATTTTCGTTTAGTTTTCGTTAACGAAATTAACACTAACAAGCACGGAAGATCACTTCTGGGGCTTTCCGGCGCTTGCCAGGGCTTGTGCTGACAGAAGCGCCCGCGCACTCAGATCACTTGGACGTGACTGTGGGAGGGGAGAGAAAGGGGGAGAGAAAGAAAGTGCTTGTGTTTGAAGATGTGAGAGCGCGCCGAAGCGTTATCCCAGCTCTCTGTACATGCTCTTTGAGGTGGTGACCATAGACCTGCATTATATGACTGACAGACAAGAACGGTTTGACCTAAAAATATCAAAATTGAAAATACTGTGGAAGCAAAGACACCTACATCTTGGATGCCCCTAATTTAAAAGTGAACTATCCCTTTAATATGTGCTTAGTAGAAGATAAAACTTTAATTTTAAAGAGTATAAATGTTTTTTCAGGAGAACATTCTGAGCCCTCCAAAACCCCTCACAGCACCCTCAGTGCAGGACACGGTTAAACAAGCTGTGCCTTTGCCGGACTATAACGGGAAACCCTCCACCTCCAGCTTCAATCCCAGCTGCCCAGAACACACTTCCGTCTTAAACAGTCCTAACAGCAGCTCTTCCAAAAGGAAGAGCTCAGACGTGCAGCTTCCCAGTGAAGCGGATCTACACACCAAGAGGCCGTGTCCTTCTCCGCGCTGTGAATCTCCCTTCTCAGCCGACAGCCCTTTTCTGTCCGAGTTGGCGTTGCACGAGGAGACCTTACGGAGTCGCTGGCACCAGGAAGAGGAGGACCGGAGATTGGCGATGCAACTTCAGAGAGACCTGAACCGTCAGATCGCCGTGGACCGCAGGAAGGGTTCAGCCGACGGCTATCAGCTCCGGCAAAAAAGCACTACAGCTTCCACAAGTACAAACCCAGACGAGGAGAGTACGTCAAAGAACATTAGTGCGCCGCGGTCGACCGCGAGGAACAGGGACGAGGGGAAAACTGAAAAGAGACTGTCTGGAACAGTGGGAGCGACCCCTGGGAAGAGCCCCGCGTCTTCTCCTTCAACAGCGGTCCCGGCTAGCTTGAAGAAGGGGGCGAAGCAGACCACCCTTACGGAGATGTTCCCCAACATGAGCAGCTGAACGAGCCTCCGAGTTCTCAAACGCCCCACAGACTCGAAGCGGATGTTAGCAGGTGCCGCGCTGCTACTAGAGGGCGTCGCGCACCTTGTTCGGTTTCCGCTCATATCTTAAGTCGCTAATACTCCCTTAGTGCCTTTCCAGAGAGGTTCATACTGTAAAGTCATGACGGTTTCGTTTTATAAGCGTTTATAATGTCACGACTAGCTTAGAGATTGAAAACGTGCGAGTGCTGCAGAAGAAACTCCTTTTGTAAGCGTTTGCGGACATTTTCGATTTGATTAAAATAAAGAAAAGATTAATGAACTCTGTTTTGGTTGTCGTCTGGTGATTTGACGAGAAAAAAGCTAAAGGCGACGACCTGAAGGATTCCTTGTGGTTATTACACACAGTAAATTCATATTTAGTCTAGAGGTCGACCGATATGTTTTTTTTCACACCGATACCGATCTTTTGAAATCCGGGTCGGCCGATTAATGCTGCCGATTTATTTCGGCCGATATTTAATCGGTTTTTAACCTCTGTTTGAAAGATAAAATGTAAAAGAAATGATAATTACTTAACATAGACAAACTCCCTCAACAAAAACATTTTATCCTCTCAAAAAATGTCCTGAAACATGTATTTTTGGTTTGTTTTGTTTGTTGATGGACAAAGACAAATGGACATAACCTAATTATCACAAAAAAAAAATTATATATAAGATTTATTATATTTTATTTAATTTAACTTCTAACAATAACGTATTTCACTAGTAAATTGCTGTTGAACGACAAAAACAACCACCAGAAAAATTATATTTTACAAAAACTTTAAATGCACCACAACGCACCGTCTGTCTGTTGTTCACACAACGGCATCCCGCTGTTGGACTTTTTAGTCTACAGTGAAGTACAAGCCATGTTTCCATCCACTTGTCAATCGAATTATCTGAAGTTCGGTAAAAAAAACACATGCGGATAAAGCTGCTGAAAGTGTGTTTCCATCCAACGTCTTTAAAGCGAATAAAAACCTGTATGTAATGACTTCACACGCTGTTTTGCGATCAAATTGGTATATTGAATTGATTTGAGGCATTTTAAGGTGTTTCCATTCATTTTCGCACTGAATCGAACAACATTCAAGCAAACTTTTGTTAGACAAAACGGATCGCGCCATCTACCAACAAATTCACAAGTTGAAGCCTAATAATGCTTATGTGCCAGCTGATAGCGACACATGTATGGGATAATGTATGCGAGGCAGTTGTTGAAGGGGTTGTATTCGCTATATAACCGCCTCGCGATATATCCACAAGTTTCCTACGCCCCATGAGGCCTTGCGTCAAAAGTGGGCGCGACTTCCGGTTGGAAGTAAACAAAGCGCGATTTGACATGCTTGGCACTCGTTCATTCAACAGTTCACAGTCATTCAAGTTATAGCGATCCAAACTAGCTAACGATGTGGGAACACAACCTCAACGGAATTAAAAAGGGTGAAATAACAGTACCTTTACCCTCCGCAGTAGTTGATTGGGAGTATTATAATAACATTATTAATAATCAATACTCATCAAGGCATGTTGACAGACAGTTGTGCGAGCTGACAAACAATTAAAATAAAAAATACACACTTAGTCATTGTGCTTTGGAGTTTATATTTTATAAAAATTATAAATGAATGTGCTGCTTGAATACATTAACTGGCACATTTGGTATTCTGTCAACACAGGCTTTGATCCTGAGTTTAGGTGTAACATCAGTAGCGAACAGCCAATCACATGCTGAGAGAGTTTATAGAATATTAAGAATTTAAACTAATGTACACAGGAAGATTCGTCGTCTTTTGGGAGGTGATGGAAACTAACGTTACAGTCGTTGGCAGGATCACTCTGATTTTGTTTTCGGCTTATGTTCAAAACAATCCCGTTTAAGCCACTGAATTAGTTTAGTCCGGTTATACATACAACCGCGAACAGCACATGTTGTCCCTGAGCTCCGTAACGACATCTCTCATAAAGATTTGCGTCTTTAAATAGTAAAATAATTCTCCGAAAAACAGCTAGCCTCTTCGCTAACTACCACACAAAATACCATTGGAATGCTACTTCCGCCGCCTCACCGGAAGTTTCACCCACTTTATTTTTTACAGGAGCGCCCCTCGGAAACTTGTGGATATATCGATCAAGATAAAATCCGATGAGACCGTACGTATTTCATTTGAGTCGATTTTCATGCAATTTCATCAAATTTTACTGTTTCCATTAGACATTTTTCATTCGATATCACTTAATTCGGATAAAAACGTGTCGATGGAAACATCGCTACAGTCACATTTTAGACTGTTTGGCCAGCATTTTAATCATTTTTAATCCAGCTACTAACTAACGGTCAGTGTTGTGCCTGAACGCGTTCAATGAACGATAGTTCATGAACACGTTCATATTTAGGTCTGCTGCTCACTCGGCTGGAAAATGAATCTAGCGGGAGTGTGCGTCAAACACATGTTCCACGACAACACCAGGCTGCCCACAGTTGCGCCCGCCTAATAATCGGCTCGATATACTTGGATATTGGGCGATGCCGATTATGTTAAAAAATGCCAAAAATCAGCCGATTAATCGGTCTACCTCTAATTTAGGCCTAAATTTAATATTTGCATATTTGAATTTCTTCTCAAATTTCAATCTATTTTGGGTTACGCCGTTTTAACATAAACCAATAGACTTAAAGTGATCCATGTTTATTAGTAATACATGCATTAAAAAGAATTAAAAAAAAAATGGTTGTATTTAAATAATCATATTTTCAAAATATGATTGCTTTGAATCAGCATAACTGTATGGGAGCTTGTTTCCGTTACAGAATATAAAGGATGCAAAATTGCAGAACTTGCAATTGCAGGGAAAAAGTCTGCAATTTTCATTTCTTGTTTGGTCAGAATCGTGACATTACAACTTGCAATTACGAGGTTATAAATCCAAATTGTGAGATATAGTCACAGCTGCGAGTGGGAAAAAGGTCAGAATTGTGAGATGAAATGTCGCAATTGCCTTTTATCCTCTGGCAGAAACAAACTTCCATATAAATCTTAAAAAGAATTAAATTATTATTATTATTATTAAAATGTAATGAATTAAATCTGTTTGTTCAGTTTGTAAAAGTATGAACCGTTAAAATATGATTAGAAAATGTATGAGATTGAAACAAACTGGACTGATTGATAAATATATTAAACCTGATGTAATTAAAACACATTCAGGTCATTACTATTACAGACATCTTGCTTTTTTCCTTTAAGTATGACTGACATGTCACACTAAGTTTATAAGTTTAACTACTAATCCAAATGCATGGAATTTTTTTAATTTTTTTTTTTTAGATTTTTTAACATTTATGTATGAATGGTATTGTGACATCTACCTTAAATGGGGAAGCGTTGGGGTTGGCATAACATCTGATCTGCATTGTCATTGAGTGCTTTTTCTCTCTCTCTACATAAGGATTGCTAAAGCACTACGTTTCGAGAAGTGTTATTGTGGGAAACGTCATGTGAAATGTAGGAAAAAGTCGGTCAGATTATCCGTGAACCAGACTGTCGAAGTATGCTCCGTCTTGCCTGTTATGGTCTTCTAGCTTTTTACATAGTGTTGCTTTGAAGTTGGTTGCAGCACTTCCCATTTGAGTCTTGCGTGAGTAATATTCCTCACTTAACTCAAAATCCCCCCAGGACTTTATAGAACGAGTAAATCCCAAATTAGCCAATCAACTCTACATGGTGATTTGAATGGATTCTATTTAAAGTGTGCAGTGATATTTGCTTGGTAAAGATGAAGTCAGCAAATTGAACTGGAATAAAGTACTTGATCAAATGAATTCAACCTTGGTGAACATAATCTCATTGTGAATAATCATTAATTAAGTTTGGGGTCATTGTTAAAATAATTATCTTGAGTAAATCATGTTTATTTTGATCTCATGCCGACTTAGCCAAGAATTAGCCATGTTTTATAGAGTGAATATTGAAAGACGAACATGTTCCCTTTATTGTGGGAACCTAAAGTTGTGGTTAACAAGTTATGAGAATGATTTATTTTAAGTTGAGTAACGTTTTCAAGTAAAATGATTAAACATTGTAATAACTCTGCAGTTTCTGGTTCGACAGGCACAAAAAAACCCCTGGCCGAAGCCTGACTCATGAAGTGTCTTGTGAGCTCGCTGACTGTGACATGCAACAGGACTGCATCATAGGTTGGTCATACAGTTTGCTTCCAGTTATTGCACACAACCACTGAGGAACAAAGCGTCTCGGATATCGGGTCATGTCAAAGAAAGAGCACCGCATAGAGTCCTTCTATGGGTCCTTAATGCCACATAAGCACTGTGATGCTATTGTGCGAATATTATTGTGCATGTGTGACAAACTGCATTCAAACCAATGCGAGAACATTCGCCGTGCATTACAGTGAATAGGGAATTTTAATGGGACTCAAATATATTTCTGTAATAGTTATGATCCATTTCTTACCTGGAAATCACTATTTGAGCACAGACCTTCGTAAATCTTGAATGTTTTGGAGCACAGACAGAAATTTCACCTGTTTTTAAAGCATACACTTGGTAGATTATTGCTGAAGTGACTTTTTTTTACACTTAAAGAATTTTATTTTTATTATGAAAAATGCACAAAATATACAGGTGAAACTCGAAAAATTTGAATATCGTGCATTTATGTCAATAATTCAACTTAAAAGGTGAAACTATATATATATTATATAGACTCATTACATCCAAAGTGAGATATTTCAAGCCTTTATTTGTTATAATTTTGATGATTATATGGCTTACAGCTTATGAAAACCCATATTCAAAATTAGAATATTACATGAAATCAAAAAAAAAAAAAAAGTATTTTAAATACAGAAATGTCTCCCCTCTGAAAAGTCTAATCATGTATATGTACTCAGTATTTGGTCTTGATGTGGCGTGGCATGTATGCTATCAGCAAAATATCCAAATTTTTTCGAGTTTCACCTGTATATCTTCTAAAACACATTATGCTCTAAAACTGCAAGGAAATCAAAGCCAAAAATCTAGACAAGTTGTTTTTCAAATTTGAGCTTGATTTCTCAAAAAATGTACATTCACACCGCCGCCGACTTGAGCGTCAAAGAAGCTCTGGCCGCTCTGTCAAGGACGCTTGTCAAAAAGTACGGGGAAGCTCGTTGACGCTTTCGACGCTTTGAACGCTCTGACGTAGCAGGTAGAAGAGAAGTGTCACAACATGAAATGTAATAAACAGAGAAAACAAGCAATACATTGAAGAAAACTTTTATAATGATATCATTTTTATAACCGTTTTGGTCACATTTGGTCAGGGAAAAAATAATATTTGGCTATTATTATTTGTTTTAGGGTATTATTATCTGCATTAGTGCAAATCGTTGTCACCGTGAGCAAATTAAAGCTACAATACCTAAGATTTAGATACCGCTAGAGGGCGCTACATTCAAAACAACAACAACGGCTTTGCTTGATGACGACGTGGAGGAACGCGGAATGATGGGAACTGTTGTTTTCAACTCCACCGTGGATAAATCAGTCAGACGGGAATCGAAAATTAGTTGTCATGGATGAGGTAAAGTTCGATTGCTATAAACGTTGCGTTTAATGACACGCTTGTTTTCATTAAACTGAAATAACCACAAGAAAAGTCAGGTTTAAAAGTAAATTACTGTACGAGTCACTGGACGAAGCTATGGTGGAGAGGGTTTGAAGGGGCAGGTCTCTTGCAAGGAGTTGACGTGGCTGGTCCTCCTTGGTAACTTTATAAAAATAAAAAATCAATTTAATTGTACATTTGACGCATCTTTTCATGTCGTGTAAGTATTCAACCACAGCTACAGTTTCACAAAATTAACGTTAAGGGGGTCGCACACCGGACGAGAAGCTGCAGCGCCGCGTCGCGCCACTTCTTTAAAATTCGAACACATTATTATATAAGTGTACACATACCTCACATACCAACGTCTCAGGACCGTGTTCAAAATCCTGCTGCGCCACAGAGCGCCATTTACATAGTTTTATATAAAATTTTAATTATTTTTGTCTCAAATCGTTGCTAATGGATCCTGACTTCGCCCTACCCAGACAGCAAACTGACATTGAATCAACGTGGAAACGACGTCTCTCATGACATTGAAACAACGTTGATTTTGCTCATCGAATTAACGTTGAACCAACGTCAGACGCGGCATTCTTCAAATCTAAATGAAAATCGAAAATTGGTTTGCTTTCATAACGTTGAAACAACGCGTTGATATCAAGTTGATTTTCCGTTAGTTTTGAAAGAATGACGCGTCTGACGTTGGTTCAACGTTAATTCGATGAGCAAAACAATGTCAGATCAACGTTGTTTCGATGTCATATTTCCACGTTGATTCAATGTCAGTCTGCTATCTGGGTATGCTTCAATATGCATTTTTTGCATTCATTTACAGAAATCAGCTGCTTGAATGACAATTGCTGATGTTATTAGATTTTTCAGGTGAGATTCTCTATTCATTCAGTTAACGGATGCTCTGAGGTAAAGTTTACAGACTGCAGACTCAGCAACGATTGTATTTAATTGTACAGTACAATCATAACATAGAACAGACATTATCTTCATTTCCTGTCATTAAACATAACAATATTGCTGGCCATACACTGATGAGAAAGTGCGCGTCCGGTGTTCGATAACGTTACTGTGGGGTTGTCCCAAACGTGGCGCAAAGCTTCTCGTCCGGTCCCAGATAGCAAACTGACATTGAATCAACGTGGAAATATGACATCGAAACAACGTTGATCTGACATTGTTTTGCTCAT